CCCAGGGAAAACATAAACTTTTTTTTTTTTTTTTTTAGCATGAAAGAACGATTCTTCTGAACACCTTAAGTGAGAAATTTCCACTCGAGCAGCCATGAGATCACAACTGCCCCAGACACACAGTGCTCAGTGAACAAAGGCAACTTTGTGCAAGTGGACTAACAGAACACTTTTTAAAAATTAATTTGCAAGAGATACTTGAGTCTTTTAGCCTTTTCTCTTCATGGACAGCTGCTCACATCTGGGAAACATTAGAAATGTCTTTACACACTCCAACCAGAGCATCAAAATAGGATTATAGGCAAGGAGATAAAGAGGAAGAGCGCGAGAGTGTTTGTGTCCTCTTTGAACGCAGAGTGATTAGTTGCAGGTGCAGGGCTCTGGTGGAAGAGAGAAGCTCTTTGTGAAGGAGCTGTGAGATTCTCAGTAAGGCCTTCAGTAGCCACAGACACACTTTTATTTCCACTCGTGCACCATTAAAATGTGTGACGGACTCTGAACGGCCTCCTAAAATCAGCAGAGTGATGGTGACCAATAAATTGTAAAATAAACACATCTTCATAGAACACGAACTGAGGTCATTTACCCATTAACTAAGAGTTTGAAAACTGCGGAAGAGATTGTTTTGATGGTCACAACACCCCTTAACGCGCTGGTGTACATATCTGTGGTGGATAAAATTAATACAACATTTAATTATTTAAATAAATGCACAAAACAAAAACAATCGACTTCCTTACAAATATTTTTATTTTACCACTGTAAAGCTGCTTTGACACAATCTGTATTCTAGTACTATAAAGCGCTATATAAATAAAGGTGACTTGACTTGAAGGATCATGTGACACAATATTACTGGTTTTGCTATTTTGACCAAAATTATGCAGCCTTGGTGAGCATAAGAGGCTTATTTAAAAAACATTTTTAAAAATCGTACTAATCCTCAAACTTTTGACCAATACAAAACATTTTAACATCATAACATTTTCCAAATGCTCTGAACAGTTGAACGTGGCGCCATAATTATCCATTTTATAAAATGACTACAGTTGTTTGCTGATGGCAATAAACAAATGAAACCGATGAGAGGAGAGGGTAGAGGAGGAACAGAGCTGTCAGCCATGCTGAGATAACATCTGGTTAGATCAGCTCATGGGTTTCAGCGCAATTTTGGTCACTCAAACACACACAGGTCATAAATTGTGACCAAAGCAAAGGCGGTGGGGTTAATAATCTCATGCGTTTCAGAGAATGCTTCAACTCAGCGTTTTGACTTACGTATTGTGGGAAAAGCATGCCATTCTGTTTATCCCGTCGCACGAGAATGGTTACACAACGCAACAAACCCAATTAGAGGGCATACAACACAATAACATCTCACATTGTGAGCTCACACAAACACATTGTAAACATAGACAAGACAGAATACATTCCAGCTGTTTTTGAGAGTTGATTACAGCTCTGTTCCAAATGCTAGTGTGCTGCCTACCTACAGTAGGCAACATTTTTAGGACAGCAGGCAGCATGTTGCCTAATAAAATACCTAATTTTGGTCAAAATAACAGCAGAATCACATATATACAACCCCAGTGAAATAAGAATAAAACAAATTTACTTATAACTTAAATATAATGATATAAAAATATTTTATTAGTAAATAAATAAATTAAAAATCAAGGTGTTGGGCAGAATTTAAGGAAATAATTATAGTAATAAATAATTATTGAGTCCTGAAAAGTATTGCTAGAACATCACATACATACTGTGAGCATAAGACAATCCTATTATACACAGATAATAATAATAAGAAGAAATTAATAAATATAACATTTAATTATAACTTAAATATAATAAATTCTCTTTTATATTTTATTAGCAAGTAAATTAACTTTTTTTTTTTAAATGAACAGAATTGAGGGAAATGTTGATAATTGTTCAGTCCTGAAATGCATCGCTAGAAAATAGTTCTAATTAAATGTACTATTTCATCTAATATTTCTGTAAAGTATCAAGTTGTTAGCTTAGCCACATGCTAACTTCAAAGTATAATGGAATCAAGTTCTAATTTGGAAAAGTGCAACAGAACGCCATTTGAAACTGTACTCCAACTCAGAAATTGTCAAACTTCGTGGAAATGCGAGGGTAGGATGTCACGAGGGCATATCAGCACGGTTAATGATAAACATAGATAAAGAAGTAAATGAAATGCATCAGTGACTCAAAGTTCCAACATCACATGATAATAAAGCAGCTTAAACAAATATTTGCAGAGACAGGAGTGTAAAACACGGTAAACTATCCTCTCTATTTATAACTGTACACATACAAAACAACTGTAAGCATTTTGCTAGCCATTTGTGTCTGTGCACATCATCCAAGCATCGGAATGCTACTTTGGTCACATGAAATTGAGTTTTTAGTATTGTACATCCTTTCAATTCAGTCACTTCTAACGCCGTCATAGAAGGTAGCTGCCCATCTAGACAGCGAGGCAGCTCATTAGGGTTTGGAACAGAGCCCGCGTTTCAGAATCAGTGGAGGAACTCCAGCTATTTTCTGTCTATTGGTTTATGACAGGTGTTTCTAGCACAAGTCTTGTTTCATTTGAGTCAGCGAAAGCACATATTGTTGTCCTCACCATGGTGGCAGGGTTCCATGTTGTGGTCGGAGCCATCTTTGGTTGCCAGTTGGTTCCTCCAGTCAACTTCTTTTCACCAGGATGACTCCAGTAAATGTCACTGAGGAGAAGCAGAAGAAACAATTATGATCAAGTCGCTGAGTTTGAAGAGAACTATGAATCAGGACTGAGATGAGCAGCAAATGTTCATACTTATTTGCGGTTCCATTTCCAATACCGAGATCTGGAAGAAAAAAAAAAAAAAAAAACTTTGAGGAATATACCAGCCATTGTGAAATGTTAAATTCACTTCAGACCCTAAATCAATAAATAAAACAAAAGTTGCTGTTCATGATTACTAGTACCTAAATACAGAGTAGGGCTGCACAATTTGTAAAAATAAAATGTTTTCAACAAAAAAGTCCGACTGTGATTGTGAAAAAAAAAAAGCTCAAGGTTTGCCATGCGCAATCTGGCCAAACATTTTGTGAATATCAATATGACTGTAAAATAGCATTATTATTTTAAGTTGAATTTTATATACATATACATACATACATACATACATGTACACACACATTGTATATTACAATGAAATATTACAATAGTGATATTTCTTTAATATTTTTGTATTTAATACTAGCAACATATTATTATTATTGCTAAATACAATACTAAACACAATTACTACAGAACTATTACTAAAACTTCTCATTACAGATTTGTATAATTAATCATACAGCCCTAATACAGAGGGTCGTTTGTAAGATATAACAAGAACAGTACACTTACTGCCCACAAGATTGGCAAGGGAGGAATCCAAGTCATCGGAAACCAGTTTGCCTGGCTGTTGGGCGCTGGGCATCAGGCCCTGGTTGGGAGAGGTCACTGTGGGTTTCAGGATGCCACCTAAAATATCATCTTAAACAAACAGAGGAGAGGGAATGGGAGAGGGATGAAAGATGCAGACAACACACACAAACAGAAAAAGCACAATTAGGTTGGGTGGAGCGAGAGGCAGCTGCCCTCGGAGCAAACGTTACAGGACCGAAAGTGATTGAATGTGGGTAAAATCTTGTCAAGTCAACTCACCCAGACATGCAGTGTCATGCAAAGCCAGCAGCCCAAATAGATCAAACCACACAGTGAGAGGAGAGAAAGAGGACAAAATGAGGAACATCTCAAAACATGACTGCGCAAATTATGGTGGTCGTATCTTACGTGACATGGGCTCACATTTAAAAAATGCTTACAAATTCAAGTCAAACTTCTGTAATGTACTATATTTACAAGAAAAAAGGATATATTTTTAACAACAACAACAAAAAATGTTTAATGTTATCAATAAGAAAGTCGTTTTAGAGGTGGATTTTTTCCCCCTTTAGAATAACATGCATAAGACCAAGACTGTGTAGTAGGACAGTGAATTTTCAATTTAGCGTTTATTTCATAATTGTATTGTGTTGCAAGCTGGATCCAAACCTGGGTCATCCATGGCTCAATGTTTTAGAGCGCTAACACTTATGCCAAATCTCCAACATAAGACACTGATTTCAAACCAATCATGGGTTTAAATCAAAACTAAGACCAAATGAAATCAAGATTCAAGCAAATTAATGCTTCAAGGTTGTTTTATGAGAAGCCTGAGGTGTGATTTGTGTTTAAAAAGCAAGTTCCAAACATGCAGTATTGAAAACATGACACAAAAGAGATTGAGTCTTTAAACACATTATGATCCCTTTTCTTATGAAAATACCACAGCAAACTTCTAGAATGAAAAGTGGCCGTATAACCGTTTTCACATGCTAGTTCCACTCTGTCAGATTAAGCATGGTCCACTGCATTGACCTTCAGCAGTGAGATGGATGTGAAGCATCACATGTGGAAAAAAGCAGTGAGTGAGTCACAGCAACTGGGTTAACTTCTCTCTTACCAGCAGAGTCTGTGCTGTTGGTGGCCGACTTATTGCCGAACACGGAGTCAAAGTCGACATTAAGGCCTGTCGAACTGGGAGGCTGGGCGGTGGGAGGTGCAGAGAACCCTGTGTAAAAGGAAATAAGGTCAGACCTAAAAAAACACCACAGGCTGGTTCACCTACAATTTTTTGAGGGCTGGAAGAATGCCAGAGAACAGCAATCTCAAAACAGTGGTTAAGGTTTTCTTCCAGCTCACGTGATGCATAATTGCCATCATTCATTTAAATGGATCGATTCTGTTATAGTCTATAGACTTCCAAAAATGTCAGCTGTTTGACTGGGTTAGCCCACGGCAACTGACTCGTACTTCCCACAACATGTTTGCCGTTACAAAACCACGTTTCATTCCTCTTCATCAATATACCAGTAGTTTCATCTAGTATACTAGAATGAGCCATTTGACGTAAAAAAAAAAAAAAAAAGGGGGGGGGCAATAAGGGTTATATTGATTTATAAAGTGGTGTGAAAAAGTGTTGGCCCCCTTCCTGATTTCTTATTTTTTTGCATGTCTGTCACACTTTAATGTTTCAGATCTCGTCAGTCCACAGAGTATTTTCCCAAAAGTCTTGGGGATCATCAAGATGTTTTCTGGCAAAACTGAGACGAGCCTTTATGTTCTTTTTGCTCAGCAGCGGTTTTCGTCTTGGAACTCTGCCATGCAGACCATTTTTGCCCAGTCTCTTTCTTATGGTGGAGTCATGAACACTGACCTTAACTGAGGCAAGTGAGGCCTGCAGTTCTTTGGATGTTGTTGTGGGGTCTTTTGTGACCTCTTGGATGAGTCGTCGCTGTGCTCTTGGGGTAATTTTGATCGGCCGGCCACTCCTGGGAAGGTTCTCCACTGTTCCATGTTTTTGCCATTTGTGAATAATGGCTCTCACTGTGGTTCGCTGGAGTCCCAAAGCTTTAGAAATGGCTTTATAACCTTTTCCAGACTGATAGATCTCAATTACTTTCTTTCTCATTTGTTTCTGAATTTCTTTGGATCTCGGCATGATGTCTAGCTTTTGAGGATCTTTTGGTCTACTTCACGTTGTCAGGCAGGTCCTATTTAAGAGATTTCTTGATTGCGAACAGGTGTGGCAGTAATCAGGCCTGGGTGTGGCTAGAGAATTGAACTCAGGTGTGATAAACCACAGTTTTAACAGGGGGGCAAACACTTCTTCACACAGGGCCATGTAGTTTTGGATTTTGTTTTCCCTTAATAATAAAAACCTTCATTTAAAAACTGCATGTTGTGTTCACTTGTGTTATCTTTGACTAATATTTAAATTTGTTTGATGATCTGAAACATTAAAGTGTGACAAACATGCAAAAAAATAAGAAATCAGGAAGGGGGCCAACACTTTTTCACACCACTGTATATTTCCATTAAATAAACTAGTTACATGATATGCAGACTGATTAATCAAATTAAATATTGCATATTAATATTTCCTTGAAGGAGTGCTATTAACAAACTATTACAAATAATTTTTGTTAATTGAAATAAAGCTGAAATAAATAAAATATAAACATTAGATGAAAAGCTTAAACTATAAAAATGTTAGAAATGAACCTTGGCAACAAAGTTTAGTTGAAAAAGCTGAAGTTCTAAAAATAATTAAAAGTGAAATAAAAATAAATTAGTTTAACAGAAATAAAAAACAAAATCTAAAAAAAGACAAAAGCACATACAATTCCTAAAGCTTTGAGTAAAATTAGAATGAAGACTGAAAAAATTAATATACACTATAAAGAGTATAAAAATACTAAAATAGCAATATCTTGAAGGTGACATGAACATGGTAAAAAGACAACAATATATATATAGTTAGATATTTGAAATTTACATACGATTATACCGATTGTTAGCCTTTTTCATAATTAATTGTGCTAAAGTAAATTATTAAATTGACAACCCAATTTAAAAAATAAATAACAATAAAAGCTGAAAACACAGGTTGCAAACTTGAACTGCAAGCTGACTGTCTGAATTGACTGAATTGATAAACCTGTTCAGTTCAGTCCTGTGCGAAAGGAAAGAAAAGACCAGACACAGCTGAAGGATGCAGAAAGAGAGAGAGACAAGCCAGAGGGACGGCACCTACCTCCGAATAGTCCAGCTACAGCGGAGGGCTCAGAGTGGAAGAGAGGAGTGTTAGGGTAGGCAGCTGGAGAGCAGAACGAGTCTGACAGGCCCAGAACAAAAGCACAGGAAAACCAGAAATGGGAAAATTAGTGAAGAGATACAAAATTAATAAAAAATAATAAGCAGAGGGATATAAAGTCTGCATACTCTATATTCAAATCAAAAGCGTGGAATTAAAACTAATTAAGTAAAAGAATAAAGGTACTAAGAGTAATTTGGGGTAAAAAGCACTCAGAGGGGAAACCACGGGGTAACGGCATTATGTTTCCCGAGCTCAGAAAACATACATCACACTGGGACTTCTGTACCTGAGAGGAAGCAGCCCATCCGAGCAGAGGGCTCGACGGGTGATGCAACGGGACAGCTTGAATCAATAAAGGGATTGTAATTATCTGGAGAACCAAGAAATTAAATTGACATTTGGGAAAAACATTAAAACTTAACACTCTAAGGATGGGAAAAATTAAAAAGGGTAAAAGAAAAATCCAAGGAAGGCAGCAAAGCACAACCAAGCAAGTTTTTGAGTAAGGTGGTCCAGAGACCATCGTACAGACCTTCAGAAAACCACCAAAAAGCAATTAATTGAGGTTCAGTGTAGGCAAAAAGGACCACCAAACTCAAATAGGGTACAAATATTTTTAAGCAGTTAATTTGTACTTGATAACAGCCATTCTCACTCTTGATCACATGTATTCATATTAGACCAGCATTACTCGATCATAAAAGCCAACTAACCATAATACAGCTGTAAAAACAAACACTCTTTACAGTAGCAACAAACCATCTGTCTGTCACTCTCTCAAATATGTTATTGTTCGCTCTGAGAACATAATAAATAAAGTCCCTAGTGTAGAACAAACTCACAGAAGCTAGACTTCCTTTATTGCTTTTACACAATCATAGAAAGGCACACATTCACAAACACACACACACACAGTGTTTCAAAACCCAGGCTGTGTTCAGAATAGCATACTACCATACTTCTTTTACAATTTCTGCAATTTATATTGCATAGTATGACAATTTCGAGGATCACTGTATCCCACAATGCAGTGTGCTCGACCTGACTTTGTGTTTCCAATGTGACAAAAGAACAAGAAGTAACCATTTTTGGTGAAACTGCCACAATATTTTATTTTATTCTAGACTCATGATTAGATTTGTTTTAAGTGTGTTTATTTGTTTAGTTATTTCAATTACAGGTACCCTTTTTTTAATATTATTTTTTTTCTCTATTTTTATTTCCAATAATCAAAAAGCAGGTCAGATTAAAAAATGCATGCACTTTATCTTAAAGCATGTAATAAAATCTGTTTAGCTTAGGGACCAATTCTCACTATTAACTAGTTGTAATAAAAAACAAAATCTAAAAAAAGACAAAAGCACATACAATTCCTAAAGCTTTGAGTAAAATTAGAATGAAGACTGAAAAAATTAATATACACTATAAAGAGTATAAAAATACTAAAATAGCAATATCTTGAAGGTGACATGAACATGGTAAAAAGACAACAATATATATATAGTTAGATATTTGAAATTTACATACGATTATACCGATTGTTAGCCTTTTTCATAATTAATTGTGCTAAAGTAAATTATTAAATTGACAACCCAATTTAAAAAATAAATAACAATAAAAGCTGAAAACACAGGTTGCAAACTTGAACTGCAAGCTGACTGTCTGAATTGACTGAATTGATAAACCTGTTCAGTTCAGTCCTGTGCGAAAGGAAAGAAAAGACCAGACACAGCTGAAGGATGCAGAAAGAGAGAGAGACAAGCCAGAGGGACGGCACCTACCTCCGAATAGTCCAGCTACAGCGGAGGGCTCAGAGTGGAAGAGAGGAGTGTTAGGGTAGGCAGCTGGAGAGCAGAACGAGTCTGACAGGCCCAGAACAAAAGCACAGGAAAACCAGAAATGGGAAAATTAGTGAAGAGATACAAAATTAATAAAAAATAATAAGCAGAGGGATATAAAGTCTGCATACTCTATATTCAAATCAAAAGCGTGGAATTAAAACTAATTAAGTAAAAGAATAAAGGTACTAAGAGTAATTTGGGGTAAAAAGCACTCAGAGGGGAAACCACGGGGTAACGGCATTATGTTTCCCGAGCTCAGAAAACATACATCACACTGGGACTTCTGTACCTGAGAGGAAGCAGCCCATCCGAGCAGAGGGCTCGACGGGTGATGCAACGGGACAGCTTGAATCAATAAAGGGATTGTAATTATCTGGAGAACCAAGAAATTAAATTGACATTTGGGAAAAACATTAAAACTTAACACTCTAAGGATGGGAAAAATTAAAAAGGGTAAAAGAAAAATCCAAGGAAGGCAGCAAAGCACAACCAAGCAAGTTTTTGAGTAAGGTGGTCCAGAGACCATCGTACAGACCTTCAGAAAACCACCAAAAAGCAATTAATTGAGGTTCAGTGTAGGCAAAAAGGACCACCAAACTCAAATAGGGTACAAATATTTTTAAGCAGTTAATTTGTACTTGATAACAGCCATTCTCACTCTTGATCACATGTATTCATATTAGACCAGCATTACTCGATCATAAAAGCCAACTAACCATAATACAGCTGTAAAAACAAACACTCTTTACAGTAGCAACAAACCATCTGTCTGTCACTCTCTCAAATATGTTATTGTTCGCTCTGAGAACATAATAAATAAAGTCCCTAGTGTAGAACAAACTCACAGAAGCTAGACTTCCTTTATTGCTTTTACACAATCATAGAAAGGCACACATTCACAAACACACACACACACAGTGTTTCAAAACCCAGGCTGTGTTCAGAATAGCATACTACCATACTTCTTTTACAATTTCTGCAATTTATATTGCATAGTATGACAATTTCGAGGATCACTGTATCCCACAATGCAGTGTGCTCGACCTGACTTTGTGTTTCCAATGTGACAAAAGAACAAGAAGTAACCATTTTTGGTGAAACTGCCACAATATTTTATTTTATTCTAGACTCATGATTAGATTTGTTTTAAGTGTGTTTATTTGTTTAGTTATTTCAATTACAGGTACCCTTTTTTTAATATTATTTTTTTTCTCTATTTTTATTTCCAATAATCAAAAAGCAGGTCAGATTAAAAAATGCATGCACTTTATCTTAAAGCATGTAATAAAATCTGTTTAGCTTAGGGACCAATTCTCACTATTAACTAGTTGTTTATTAGCATGCATATTACTAGCATTTTGGCTGTTTATTAGTACTTATAAAGCACATATTAATGCCTTATTCTGCATGACCATATTCTAGATCCCTTAATCCTACATAAATTTAACAACCACCTTATTAACTATAAATTGTGGAAAAGTTGTAGTTAATAGTGAGAATTGATCACCAAACTAAAGTGTGACCAAAATCTTGAAGCACGGTAACATTGTAATGTTACTAGATATTAATATATAGTGACAATGTATATAAACATAGAATAATTCTGTATAAAAGATTATGACACTGTATATAAACATAGAATAATTCTGTATAAAATAGTTTGTTTAATGCTGTATAACAAACACTTCCAAATGCTACATAATTAGTATGTAAAGCTTTATTCATTTAATTTAACTTTATTTATTTATTTTTTAATATAGGCATTATTCAGTCTATACTGTGCATTCTTCAGTAGGCTAGTATTCCATTTTCAGTTGCCTATGCAGACAGCATTTTTGGGCATCACCAGTGCATTTGAGCTTTTGAGTTAGACACTGGCAAAAACACGGTCTAGGTAGGCAGCTTGCTAGGTTTTGAATACACAGCCAGTATGAACTTGAGACACACGTATCAGATACTTTAAGGGTTATTAAGGTCAGGCTGGAACTGCCCAGCGGGTCTTTGTACACTTGATGCGGTGGAGCATTCAGGACAAAAATAAGAGTGGAGGGAAAACAGATCGGCACGCAGCAGGCGAAAGAAAGCAAACAGTGCACTACATGAGAGAAAAGAACAGCCGTTTACCACCAAACATTTCATGACTGGGTGTCCTAGAGGAAAAACTAACAGCATCTGAAGACACAACAGGCAGATGGACAGGATCAACAACTGGTTTTGTAAGGAAAGGATTTAAGTTTGGAATGGAGTCGTCAACAGCCTCTGTAGACGTGAAAGGATCTACACGGCCAAAGACAAGACAGAAACACAAAATAACAGGAAAAGGTTAGAGAGAGAGAAAGCATGCAAACACAGACTAACAGACAAATGAGGTGGAGTCTGTTTGGTCTAGACTCTTTCAGATGAAAATAAACTACCAGACTGAATGAGATATCCAACATGCGATGTAATGAATATGTAACATAAATCACACATCTAAGCTAAATGGATAGGAATGATTCTTTGAATCATGAGAATCAGTAGAGAATCATTTGAATCAGTACAACTTCAGTCTGATATGAAGCTTTGAAGATGTACTAAAATCTAAAATATAGAAATAAACATTTAATATTTTATAAATAAATAAATGTTATTAGTGTTATTATTAGTAAGCTTTAAAGCAAATAAAATGGATACACAAAATATAATATATCAGCACTATTAATAATTGCTTTAATTGTACAACTCTGAAAAATATATATATATACTAGCTGTGCCAAAGGTTCAGTAACCATTAACCTGATTTAAAGACATAAAAAAAAAAAAAAATATATGATAAACATGCAATATTATAAAATATTATTTAAATACAACTTTAAAGCTGCAATTCAGATTTTATCTACTGACATATTTAAATTAAAAAAAGAAAAAGGTTTCATTTGATGTCATGTTTTCTTAAAATAAATTTTCCCAAAATCCAATGTGAAGTTCAAAAACATCTCAGTAGACCTCTGCTGGGTATCATTTTCACTATGAACATGTTCAATTAATTTTAAAGGATTAGTTCACCCAAAAATAAATTCTGTCATCATTTACTCACACATGCCATTCCAAGACTTGGAATATATTCCACAAGTCAAAATGATCACTTTTACGAGACATTTTTTGATCAGTTTGGAGTATGACAGCCAGTATGACAGTTTTCATTTACTTGTGTGGCAAAATTTCACATTTTGTGTTCCACGGATGAATGAAAATCATACGGGTTTGGAACGACATAAGGATTAATAAATGATTACAGAATTATCATGTTTAGATTCCTTTAAAAGTCAGAGAACATGACAGCAGAGGTGTTGGACAGTGTATAGCATACATAAATCTCCAAAGAGCTTCAAGATAATACATCTGTGAAGGTTGCTGAGTGTGTTTTACACAGTATAATCCAATAAACACTGAAAGCTGCAGGCTTTTTATGGTTCTGCCTTACTAATATCAGAAACCAATATGATATCAGTTCTGCCACGTTAAATATTATGTTACACACCCTATCAGCACTTTTGGATAAAAATTAGACTCTCATTTATCAGACTTTACAGATTAGATGTTATTCAGACAAATAAGGCGCGTGCAACAAGAACATGCTTTCTTTAGGCGATAGCATCGTGGACAAAATTCAAGAGGGAACATTCATTGCTTAAGTTTTGATTACAGCAGAGAAGACAGTGTTGATGTAAGCTTGATTTCTCTGAGATGCATATTAATGCAGATTTGTGAGTTCCTGTGGTGTGGACCGCTCACCTCCCCATGTGTTGGCTAAAGGCAGGCCGGTGGAGAGAGGCAGGGAGGGCTGGAACGTGGGCTGCAGGTCCAACAGATCGTTCGGCACCTTCGGAGTGCTGGAGCCAGACACGCACCAAGACAAACACAGACACACACACACAGGAACTGCATTAATGTCTTCCATAAACGGCAGTCTAAGGGCCAAGCATTTCACAGTTATATGGCAAAGACAAACTTGGCACGTTGATTTGAAGTGCTTAAAGTGGAGAATTAGGGCGTTCAGGGGAAATTCACATGCAATCAATACCTTCTTCACAGCCAAATCCTGTCCGGGCAGGAATTCACACACTTACAGTGTAAACAAGAGAACTGGAGCCTGACTTTATACTGATTTTTTTTTTTTAAATACACAAAGACGCACAGTTTCAGGACAGCAGAGGTTAATCTGATTTGAACAAACCCCTAACCGCAAGTATAACAGTAATAATGATGCTCGCCTTAGCAAGCACCATTAATAACTTATGCCTCCATTACTCCTTGAATGACATCATCATTAAACACATACGCCTGTAACGTAATCACAGAGTTTAACTTGCTGTCATTGTGTAGTCCTGCACAGAGCCCTAATAAAACACTAAAAGCTGAAGATGCCAAACGATTGCACATGTGCACTCATGCACCAACTGGGAAAATAATCACTACCAGCCGTGTATCATCAAAACAGAAAGACTGCGGCATCAATCATCAAATATAGAGCAATTAGTTCTGCCCACACAATCTGACTGGCTGAAAAGCATTTGAACTTTGCAGTCATTTATAATCAGCATAAAATGGCATTTACAATATATTAATATATTTTATAAAAATATAAATATTACACATTTTAATAACATGATTTGTATGTACAAAAGTTTTCTGTAATACATGTGTGGCTTTTAAAATTATAGAATACAACCAAACACAAATCGCTGAGGGCGAAACTAAGGTAATGCAGGACTGTCAGTCAGCGGCCGTGGTTGGGGCCTAAACTATGTGATGTCACATTGCTCAGAGAACCAAAACGGCTTGTCTATAGACTGATTTGGTTTAATCGGGATTAAAAAATAAGGAGTGGGTGGATTTTTATCATTGTAGGGTGGTTGTGTTCACACACCGCCAACACATATTTATGTCTAAACACCATGTAAAAGTGGATTTTGCATAATAGGTGCCCTTTAATGTGTCTTTGATTAATGAGAATATGAATTTCTTCCAAAAACAAAACTCCAAACTTTTGAACAGTACATATAAAAAAGCTATTACCTGTTAGTGAAGCTACTGGGTGTGGAGAACAGGTCGATGGCAGGGGCAGAACTGATGGTGCCCGTCGCCGTGGAAATGGGAGATGCAGCAGTCGTGGAGGGCTTCTTGGTGTTTTTTTTCCCCCACAAACATAACTTTGCCTGGCATTCATTTGTAAATCACGTCCTGTACATTTGTGGATCGCTGTGCACATTTGTCGATTTGAATGATTGGTCAGTGAAGTGTGGCTGTTATCTGAGTAGCCCGAGTAGACGGTGGGTGGAGTCCATGCATTTATGGATTGTCAGCGTTTTGACGCTAGATAGGTTTCAAAATCCACAAATGCACGCAGCGATCCACAAATGCATAGAAAGAAACGCATTCACAAATGTACAGGGAGCGATTTTAATAACTTATGCCTCCATTACTCCTTGAATGACATCATCATTAAACACATACGCCTGTAACGTAATCACAGAGTTTAACTTGCTGTCATTGTGTAGTCCTGCACAGAGCCCTAATAAAACACTAAAAGCTGAAGATGCCAAACGATTGCACATGTGCACTCATGCACCAACTGGGAAAATAATCACTACCAGCCGTGTATCATCAAAACAGAAAGACTGCGGCATCAATCATCAAATATAGAGCAATTAGTTCTGCCCACACAATCTGACTGGCTGAAAAGCATTTGAACTTTGCAGTCATTTATAATCAGCATAAAATGGCATTTACAATATATTAATATATTTTATAAAAATATAAATATTACACATTTTAATAACATGATTTGTATGTACAAAAGTTTTCTGTAATACATGTGTGGCTTTTAAAATTATAGAATACAACCAAACACAAATCGCTGAGGGCGAAACTAAGGTAATGCAGGACTGTCAGTCAGCGGCCGTGGTTGGGGCCTAAACTATGTGATGTCACATTGCTCAGAGAACCAAAACGGCTTGTCTATAGACTGATTTGGTTTAATCGGGATTAAAAAATAAGGAGTGGGTGGATTTTTATCATTGTAGGGTGGTTGTGTTCACACACCGCCAACACATATTTATGTCTAAACACCATGTAAAAGTGGATTTTGCATAATAGGTGCCCTTTAATGTGTCTTTGATTAATGAGAATATGAATTTCTTCCAAAAACAAAACTCCAAACTTTTGAACAGTACATATAAAAAAGCTATTACCTGTTAGTGAAGCTACTGGGTGTGGAGAACAGGTCGATGGCAGGGGCAGAACTGATGGTGCCCGTCGCCGTGGAAATGGGAGATGCAGCAGTCGTGGAGGGCTTCTTGGACAGTTCCTTCAGGCGCTGCTCCTGATGGAAGAATCAAACCGTGTAACCTTGCTAATTACCTTGCTAATTGAGTATGCTCCAATATGATGAGCTTTTTAACAAACAAAAAAAACTCCTTTCCACTCTTTCATAGATGGTGTTACATACCTTAAGTGCTTTTAATCGAGCCTGCTCCTCCTCCAGAGCTGCCTGCTTTTCCCTCTCATCAACCTTGGTGAAAGAGATACCCGTGTTGGCCAGGGAGGACACCGCATTGGACAGCGCACTGGCTCTGTGTGGAAAGACAGGGGGATATGGAGATAGAATTGTTGCATAATTCCAAATAAACAGATTATGATCCACAAATAAATGTAAAGAGATAGATAAATGTAAATAGAATGAGATCCACAAATAAATCTTTTTATTTATTTGTGAATTTAATTAATGTTTGTGAAACTCTAAGATTTATTTGTGGATCTCATTCTATTTATTTGTCAATGTTTAATTTTTGTTAATCTCTTTACATTTATTTGTGGGTCATAATCTCCTTATTGGGAATTATGCAACAATTCTATCTGCATAGGCAGAGGACCTGATCCATTCGGACCATGTGACGTCACAGTGCGTTATTACCGCCATGTTTGTGTCCGAGTCACAGATGCGCGACCTGTTTCAGTCATTGGTCACAGCAGCCACAACTACCAGAGGAAGATCAACGAAACACTCCCGGAAGGTTCCCAACAAGGTTACAATATGCTCGGGATATGTTGTGCTGTTATCTGTATAACAGCCGTCAGAGAAACTCCAAACTACAATTTTATTTGACCCCAAAGGAGTTAGATAGGCGGAATAAATGGTTGGCTTCAATCAGAAGGGACCACTGGCAGCTAGGGTTGCCAACTTCAGAAAAGGAAAATATGGGACAATTGTGATTCTTTATAGGAGAATAAGGGACAGAATAAAGGACACTAAAATATTTGTACTGTACCACATACTGTATGTCATGTCTACAGTTAATTATATATAAAAGGTGTATAAAAGGTTCTCAAAAATAATCACATTTGTTTTGCTTAACCTATTTATGTACAATTATTCTAAAAAGAATTTTAAAGTCATACAAAAAAAAAAAGTCACACACGGCCTGAGTAAATTGTACCATTGTGAATTGTTACTGGCTGTACAAGTGGTGTAGTAATTTAGGAGGTGGATATACTGTGAAATTACTTAGCCTACATACATATATATGGCATAAAATTTGAAAGCATAACAACCGAAAGTCTGAAATGTCAGTCAGTAAAGCATTTTTAAAACAATTTGAACTAAAACATTATTGCAGCCATATAGCCTATGAATGAATGAAAATGCATGTTTGAATTAAAGAGAACTTAAGAGTGTGGGCTGATTTTGCTGCTTGAATAATGAGATCCAAGTTTAAGATACTCCGGAAGTAAAAAACGTCTTCCCTAAAGTTGACTGCATGTTTTCTTGTCTTGCTGGATGTTTGGCTCATGATCAATAATCATGTTGTTTGCATTCGCCCAAACTAATTTGCCGAAAACAAAACGCAGACAACGCAGACAACGCAGAGGATTCTTCAAGCCTTCCTCGAGCGGCTACATTCGCAAATAAAACAATGCTTTGTCCAAAAAGAACGATTAATTATCAATTGTGCTAATGTTAGCAAATTGACATTAAATATAGATTGTGTAGTAAGCTAGCTAACGTTATCTTGTTACACTATCATTGACAAAGTGCTTTGAGTTGATGTCAGTTTTAAATGTACAAGTAATCAGCACCTTACATTATTATGACCTAACTGTTACACTTGCTGTACCCATGTTAGGGTCCTAAAAATACAATCAAGTCCAAAGCTCAGTGTGGGAAATGGTAGTAAAAGATAATTTATTATTTTAATATATTATTATTTATTAAATCTCATTTAGATGTGCTGTGTTCGTTGTCATATTGGACACAAAAATGGCGGTGAGCATAGCGGAAGTGACGTCTTCGGTACCCATGAATACAGTAAACATGCCACTGTTGAAATCGCAAGGGTTGCATTAGTGGACATCAATGCTACTAGCATGAGCACAGAGCACATTTTTACTGCTTCCGCTACAGGAACCCAGTTTGAACCTGGACTGTCCAAACTGCAAATCATCAAAATCATGTACATTCCTCCTACACTTAGTTTAAACACAGTTCACTGATTATTTTAGAAATATTTGTCACATCAAAATAATAAAATTAAATGATATCACTCACAACCCCTAAAACCACCTGTCCTCAGATCAAAATTTAATACTTCAAGCAGATTAAAATATTAAATCTAAGAAAAACTGAATTACATTACTTTAAAGAAACATGACAGGCCACAAAAAAAAAATCAGCACGAAAATGTACTGAAATACACACACATTAATCCAAAATAATTTTTGCATACTAACATCTGTAATGTAACTTTTTTTTTTGTCCCATTGAAAGAATAACTGAGTAATGATTTGATATGAGAATATCAATATCTTGTGAATTTAGTTAAATGTTGGTTTCTAGATGGCAACAAAAATGCTGTTTTCATCATAAAAATCATAGAAATAGCTCAAAATCCCCTTCACTTGGAAAAACTGCACAGAAATTTTAGCCGGACACAAAACTCCCTGAAACGCCTCTCTCCCACACATGTTCAGCACATCCAAAAGTCACACACACTCGCTGAATGCAGAGCATGAGGAAAGCAGCCCCCTCACATACTAGAAAGTTCAAAATTAACTGCTAGAAAATCACTGTACCTGCTGGCGGCCGTGGAGTCTTTGACCTTTTTCCCCTCTAATGAAGCCAAATGCTGCTCAAGGGCATCCAGAAGGCTACTGGGGGCCTGGAGGGATGGAAACATTACTTTAGCTTACAGGCTACTACACACACACAGACAGTCCACAAATATACACGCGCAACATATATGAGTGACTGATTAAATTAGGGGCACTTTTGACTACTTGAAATCTTGAAAAAAACAAACAAAAAAAAAAGAATCTTCTCTGAAATGATTTATCACATATTTTATTTTCTTAACATGTATGACACTCAAGGACTTTACTATGAGCAACTTTCCATTGGATTTTGAAATAATATCTTTTGTTGTTGTACATGATATAATGAGATTGCTATTTTTCGAATTTTGGAGAAAATGTTTAATAAGCCTTGACTTTAAATAAATCAACTTACTTTAAAACATTTTTTAAAAATGTTAAATAAATACAGAAATAAACAGAAAAAAAAAAAAAACGATTAAATAACAATGAAAAATAAAAAACGAAATGAAAAGAAAAATAAATAAAATTATTAAAAGAAGTTAAAGTAAAGTAAAAATGTTTATTTATTTATTAAAATGATTTTGAAATGAATCATCACTTTTCTTTCCATTATAGCTAATATTTTAATACCACTTTTTTGTTTTGTTTTCTAAAATATTTGGCATGATGGTAATGACAATAATATACAATCACTGTCACCATTATATTAATTATCAAAAAATATATATTGTTCACAAATTCTGAACAAACTGAAAATCCAATTTTTAAAACATCACTTTTTTAAAAATAAAATACTACATATACAAAAAATATATATATATTAAAAACATACTACGGACAAAAACGTCCCCTTAATTGAAGAAACTGCTGTGCATAAACACAGATAGCATGCAAAGTCAGATAGCATGCAAAGATACAAACCAAAGACTCTAAACACAGAGAAAAGAGAGTGAGATGCAGGTACTTACACAAACTGTAAACTGAAAACGGAAAGATAAGGAAAGATACAGAATATAAAGGTGGTAGTTTAACAGAGGTGTTTTCAGAGAATTTAAGAAACTGCAGAAACGTTAAGAAGAATAAAAACAAACCCTTAACATAAAACGTAACATATAATTGTGTAAAACTATTGCTTTATGTTAATATATATCTTATAAAGAATCTTATCTTATAAAGATCAAGATATATTTAATACATATAAAACTTCTATATACATATAAAATATAAATATAAATGTTTAAGAATCCAATGACAACCCCATTTTAATAGAGCACAACTCTGAATTTTGAGGGGAACCTGTACCATCTAATATTATGATGATTCTGGTCTACAGCAATCATGTTCTTGTTAACGCGGTCTCCTTAACACACAAACAAGTAAAAAGCTAGTTGTTGAAAAGAAAAAGAAAACAAATAAAATCAGACTTAAACCAAGACCCGATTCGGTCTCAAACCTGTAAGCTGCCCACAGCATCACACCTTTATGTGCTGTATGAATCAAACATTAAGGACAGTTAGAATAGTTTCCTCCACCAGTGTCATGCAGAGATATCCGCATGCGCCGAGCACTGCAGGCCTGCGGTTTGCAGCCGCACTGCACAAACAAATTAGTTGCAGTTCTAGAACTCTCTGATGACTTTTCATATAACTCAAGTTAAGTATTGATATTTCTAGGCAACTGCAGGTTAGAGAGTTCTACAACTTGCACTTGTTTGGATCTAATGTAGCCGTGTCAAGTTTGGCTGTGGAGCTCAAGCCGTGTCTTGCAAAATGAGAGCAGAGTGACAAATAAGTAGCTGATAGGCAGAAGGGAAAGCAGTCAGTGTAAGTTTTTCCTCAAAACCAAGGCCAATATATTTGTTTCCTCACCTGTGATAAGTCTGGTATGTCCCCTCGGTCGATTCCCACTTGCTGTAATGAGCAGAAAAGAGCTGGTTAATGTGTGTCTCATTCGTATTGGCTCATTATATAATCAAGGAGCCCCATAGCGAAGGTTACGCCGTCTTACCTCTGCCACTTTGAGAAACTCTGAGATTCTCGTCATTCGAGTGAGGAATTTCTTATAGATTTCCAGGCCTTCTTTACATTGGGCTTTCTTCATGTCAAAGTACTTCTCTGCAGATGGGAAAGGGTATGAAGTCAGATTTTTAGATAGCTTTGCATTCCCACCACATTTTAAGGGGGCTTGCTTTTCACTCTGCGACTTCACCAGGCAGAGTTATGCTTAGCATCTGTCACCACAACATGACCCAAAGCAACTCTCACTAGTATGTCGGCCTCTCACAGAAACTCTCATCCAACATGTAACCACTGAACAAAGCCAACAGATGCAGCTCAGCCCCTGAATGGAGCCATCCAACACAAACACTCCAAGCAAAACCACTCGATTTAGTAAAAACATCATTATTGCAATTGTTTAACAAATACTGCGGTAGCATTTTAAACTGCGATATGATAATCCCATATTGCTGCTCCTTAGATATCATAGATAAAAGTAAGAAGGAATAAAATCACAATAAAAAGCTTATCTTCAACACTGACTATAAAGTAATGTTTTTTGGCTTTGAATTAAGTCTGAATGGAACCGAACTCAAGCCTCTTTGCAGAGGCAAATGTGAATGGGGTAAAAAAGGACCCAGATCTCTTTGCATTCACATTGTAGTTGAACTTAAAAGTGGACTCGGATCTCTTTTTGAAACTTCAGTTGTTTCAGTCCATTTTTATTCCTAAGTTACTGTTTTGAATCTAGTCTACTGAAGTATAATATTATAATGAATAAACATCTAATAATAATGAAATATATATATATATATATATATATATATATACACACACATATACATACATACAATACATACATACATATACATATATATACATACATACATATATATAATTATGTATAAAATAAACAATAACAATAATATTAATAATATTAACAATTTACTATTAATAAAATATGTATTTCTACTTTTTTATTCAAGTTTCAAGTAAAAAAAAAATAGCTTTATACATTTAAATCATTACATTTTATTTTGACAACTTGTGCTGTCCTACTTCAAATTATCATTATTGTGATAATGATATTTAAGTTATCATGATATCCAAGTTTTCAACAACAACTGATCTTTAAATAAGACAATATCACACGGTCTGGATAACCAAGTTTAATCAAGTTCTCTAGCTAATCATCACTTCAAGTTGAAATTTGCTCAGTGCATTTCCAATTTTACTGCCCTAAACCATGACACTGTCCTTACTTGGCCCAAAAAATAAATTCTGAGACTACTGATATGTATAGGAAGGGTTTGTTTTATGAGTTACAGCTCTCAGGCAGAAAATAAGCTGTCATAAAACTGAGTAACGAGTCAGGTCAGAGTCCTATACAACTGTCGATGAGTGGGTTGATACTTTAAGTTCAAAGGTTTCTGCAACAGGAACCAATAAGAGGAGATGGTAAAAGCCAATATGTAGGGCAGCCCACTTTAGGTTTCGAAAGATCAAGCAGAATAACAGCTCACCAAGCAAGTTGATGATCCCTTCATTGTAGGCTGCAAACAGGCGGATGGCGTCTTTAAACAGAAGCATGAATGCAGCATTAATGACCCCGTTTGTGAGCTCGTTGGCATTTACCTGCCGACACAAAATAAGCCAAATTCAATTTGGTTTGAGACGATTATGCTGCAAGAACTGAAAACCAATGCAATTACGAAAAAACAAAAGGAAAAGACCATTGAAGAAAGGTCTAGCCATTAGTGCATATGGAACTTAAATAAGTCTAGCTGTTGTCATCATAAACTCACGTTGAAGTCAAGGAGTGCATCCATCTGGTTTTGGATGATAGGGATGGTCTTTAGGAGCTTCTCTGTGTTCATAGCTCTCATTACGCCATCCGCCCTTTGATAACAAAACAGACAACCAATTCAATGAAGAGTTCTCATTTTTGGGTGAACTATCCCTTTAGAAAACAGACTTACCCTCTTTTTACTTTCGTGAAGTCGAAAGCCACTTGTCTGTATGAGACTGCCTTTTCGTTCAGGTAGCGGCTGTACCTCCGGATGAAGGTGGACATGTCATATCCTGCATGCAAAAGAGAACATGCTGTCTTTTGAGTTCACAGTGACCCTCGGGTTGTTGAACTTAGTCATACCGCACTTTCTATTTGCCTTAGGTTTGGATGCTCATGAAAATGGATGACACAGCTGGGATGTGTTTGGAAAAACAGAATGACTAATGAAGTGTCGGGCTGAAAGCACCTACCTTGTAACCCGCTTTTGTCCAAAAAATTACTGAGGTTGAATAATGTGTTCCTGGAGGCTAGATATTGTACAAATCTCTGTCAACATGAAGAACAAAGAGTTTGGGTTTCAATTTATTCTGAAGTTAGTCACCATGCAAATAAACAGTACTGTCAAAGCCACAAGGGTAAAATTGATTGACACTGCTGAAAATACCAACAGCTAAAGGATTCGTGTTTTTTTTAAATTTTTTTTACTCATGCTTATTTAATTTCAAACCTGACTTACTTTCTTCCATGAAAACAAAAGGTGAATCTTGGCCAATCTTTTCAGTAAAATCAAAAAGAATGGTGAATAAGGTTGTAAACCTTAAAAAAAAAAAAAAAAAAAATGTTGTATTGCCACTTTAAAACTCAATGCCCCCAGGATTGATTGAGTAAAATAAAACGTAACTAAAATCGATTGAAATAAAAGTTAAAACAGTGGTCAGCATATTCTTAAATTAAACTAAAATGAGTAAAATAGAATGCAAATAAAATAAAAAGCAAATTAAACAATTAAAATAAAAAAAATGTTTAAAAGTGGCCAGGCTATTTAAAAAAAATAATGTACAATAAGATGTAAAACAAAAAATAAAAAAAATACAATAAATAAAATAAATTAAATTATTATTATTAATATAATTTTTTTTAAGTACAAAAAACTATTTTGAGAGTTTGGAATGACAAGATTTTAAAATTTTGGGGTGAACTATTCCTGAGTTCAGTCTGTATGCATTTCATCAGGCTATAGAGCTCAGGCTGAAGGTGATGAATGTGTACAAGAGTGTGTGTGTATGAGGGGAAGCTGACCTCGTTGCCGTAGACCATAAGGTGGTGTGTGGTGATGAGGGATTTGAACACGACCACCCAGCTGGTGTTGGTGGTGCGCTCGAACAGCGTGTCGGCCAGCTGAGGGATGTTCACATTCATCTCGTTGGTGCACTGGATCAGATCTGGTGAGAGAGAGTTGAAGGAGGTCAGTGTGTTTATAATTCAAACTGTCAGCACGTCACAGCCTTTGTATTTGGGTCCTAAATAACTTAAACAGTTTTGGTACGTTAACATTTGTTTGAACCCTTACATTCCAGATTTCCTTAAAAGGCTGTCCTAACTAGTGGTCATCTGATGAGTTCTCCAGTGACAGATGATGGTACTGATATAAAGAGAACATGGTAGTCAATGGTTGACATAAAATACCGTTCTAAAGTTTGGGGACAGTACGATTTTTTTGAAAGAAATGTCACAAAAGATTCCCATTTCATATAAATAACGCTCTTTTGAACTATTCATCAAAGAATCCTGAAATGTATGCATCATGGTTTTCAGAAAAATATTAAGCAGCACAACTGTTTTCGACACTTGAGCAGCAAATCAGCATATCAGAATGATTTCTGAAGGATCATGTGACACTGAAGACTGGAGAATGATGCTTGCTGAAAATTCAGCTTTGCCATCAAAGGAATAAATTATATTTTAAAATTTATTAAAACAGAAAATTTAAATTGAAAAAAAAAAAAAATTACATATATTTGATCAAATAAAGGTTACATTACTGATCATAAGAGACTTTTCAGCAAGTTCAAAAAACAAATCTTTTGAACAGTAGTGTACATGGCAGCAAATAGATGTACTCTGTATGTAGGGGCCCTATGAAATCCGTTTTATTTTTTCGTATTTATTTTTTAAAAATCTTTTCCAAATTCCATTTTTTCCAGTTTGATTTTTCTGGATTCGTCTGAAAGAAGAAAGTCATATACACCTAGGATGCTTCGAGGGTGAGTAAAACGCAGCATAATTTTCATTTTGCGGTGAACTAACCCTTTAACAGCAATTTATTAAAAGTTTCACAAAAAACTACATTTTTAAGGCCCTATGAAATATGTTTTTTTCTCAAATTCAATTTTATTTTTTACCAAATTCTGTGTTTTCCAATAATTTCCTGGATTCCATTTTAATGGTTCCATTCAATTTTAATGATCAAAAGCATCTATAATTTATTTATTTGATAAAAATTTAAATTTTTCTGCTAAATAAATTCTGGTAAATATTTTTTTTCTGGTAAATATTCCTTAAAAAATAATGTTTTAACATTTATTATTAGTAGTAGTACTATCATTACATTAATTAATATTTTCTGTCACAGTTTCTTCAAGTTAAAACTTAGTTTGACGGGTTGCTGTGAAGACCTTTAAGTTTCTGTTTGTATGTGATATGATGATAGTTTTTCTCAAAAGAAATGGTGAAATGCTCATAAAATGACTCTCTATATCTAGAGATTATATTAATGTTTTCATGTACTCAATATGTGTTCATACTGAGGTAGCAGAGGCTGAAAACGCCGGGAGCGTCACGCGCACTTCAGTATGTGTGTAGTAAACACGCGGAACATTAAATGTGGGGTATGTATTTTTTTCAAAAACGCTTTAGAAAACTGAGTCAGGCCGAGTACCAAAACAAACTTGTAGCCAATCAGCAGTAAGGGGCGTGTCTACTCACAGGACGGACATTAGCCGAGCCAAGCAACAGAAAGATAGAGATGGCGGATAAAAAAACAAAAGTGGAAAACGTCTGTGGAACAAAAGAAGGCATACAATAAGGCAAGAAGTAATACCCGTGTAAATATCGGATCAGCTTTCCAGCGCTGGAGAGAACTCAAGGAGCGGGAAGGCCTGCGATCGGACGCAGAGGTTGCTTTGTTTCTTCTCGATAGGTGAGTAACACCGTGTCTCCATCAGACGCAACAGATGTCGCGCCGCGCAGCAACAGCTAAAGTCTGTCTATACTGGATGCGATAAAGCGACCGCTGAAAATCATTTGAAATTTGTGTCAATACGTCATAAACAGAACGCAGCAGCAATTTTTTGTCGGGGATTTGTCGTGTCGTGCTGCATCCAGTGTAGACAGCATCACTGATTATAATGAGTTCTATAATATTTTGTCGCGCTGCTCCCGTCCGGTTAGGGCTGGGCGATATAGCTAAAAAAAGTATCAACGATATAATGTTTCATATCGTTCGGTATCGATAATTATTGACATTTTTTTATAACCTTTTTT